GAGGAAGCCTAATCTCCTCAGACTACTGCTGACCATAAGAACCGTGGGAAATCTCCTCAGACTAGCACATCAGTGAACATAAGAAGAACCCACGAGATAGATCACTTTGAGGATATTAGTCGAGACTTAGATGAAGTGCTGACAAGAGCCGGTGAAATCAGAGTGCTACATCAAACAGCAACAATTGGGGACTTGAACCAACAGGTAAATATAATCATATAGCTTGTTGGCAACATCCGAATTTCAGTCAATCATATTGCTGGAAGTACTGGAGTTTTAGAGCTACCTTCCCATACCATCCCTGGCGTCGGTACCAATCCTCCTAATTCAACCACACAGGCAACTACAGGTCAGAAGTAGATTGGTGATCAATTCAATCTTTAGTTTCTGCCTGGTGTCCATACCAATCTACCGAATAGTCAAGTGTAGATCTAGCTACAGCTCATAACCAGCAGCAGCTTGTTGCCCCGACTGCCTCAGTCTGCAGGTTCATCAGCACCTTCGGTCAGCACTGCTCTGAGCAGACCAACATTTTTACCTCAAGTGCAACGATTCAAAACCTGCAGAACCAAGAGTACCTTCATCTGCATTCATTGCTAGTTCAGAAGTTGCAATGCTGCCCCAAAGTCTCCATGCTTTTGCTATGAACTCTGCAAGTTCAAGCAGACAGCCAGCGCTGCTAAACCAAGAGAGCATTCGTGGTTTGAGTATCCCCGTGCACCTCCTGTAACTGTGAAAATAAAGCCATCACTGAAGATGTCGTGCCTCCTGCACCAGTACCAGGTGATGGGCAAGCACGCACACAACAATGTTCCTTCTACAGAAGTACACATACAAATATAGGTCAAACATCTTCTTCTTCTATGCCCCGAAGAGACGAAGATCAGTAGTTCCACTACAGCTGATCGTTGGTCACGAATCATTTTGTCTCATTTACGTCCTTATTACCATCTGATGGGACAGAACATCAAAGCCAACATTCAGTTTCCTTGAGTATTGTAGTGACTGTTCTCATTATGGTATAGACATTTATGATGATTCCTATAATCACGTCATAACCTCTGCATGTTTGATTTGCAGTTGAACCTTTGTTTGTTTTGATTTTTTTCAATGAACTTTTTTTTTCTCTCAAGGAACAGACCTTTGTTTCTTATTTTTTTCAAGGAGTAGGATTGATGCCTGATCCTGTTTCCAGGCCATGTTGATGCATGTCAATGTTTTCCATATGGTACCTGGTCCCATCTCCAGGTCATGATGATCATAACCGGTTACAACCTCACGGTGGACATTATGCATGTCTCCATAGTCTAACTCGCAGTTGGTCCTCAGAGTATCAATGAATACAAATCATAGAATGGAAGCCACCAATTTCACACTCAGCCTATATAACAACAGAAGTACTCCGTTTTTCTTAAGTGCACGAGTCGTGTAGCAAATTAATTTTGGTTAATTGCCTAGCCCAGCCCAGCCAGGATCTGCTTGACCAGCAGACCAACCTCATCCCAATAGAAAATCCACACTGATCGCATCTTTCTGTTTCACGCTAGCTTGCTCGTCGGTTCCTTTGTTAGCGTGCTACCGTACCTTTTTTGTCGTCGGTGGTGGACAGTCGCCGATTTCATCGCCCGCACAACTTGCTTAAGAAAATAGGAACAAAAAATGATGCCCCATTGGATGAACGACTTCATGCATATCCCTGTCCAATCTTTACCCCTATCCTCCTGGGCCTCATCTTCCATATTTAAGAGCCAATGCTACTACACCTACGTGCAAAGCTTGAGTGAATTTCAAAATGAATAGCTTTTGGGGCACACCAACGAAAAATGATAAATGAAAGTACCTGAAGCCTATATGTCCTTCATGCATATTTTTCATTTGTTTCCAAAAGCCTTCGTGATAAAGGTTCCTCAAAACCATGGGGACAGATCCGGTGAAAAAAGGCTAAAAGATTGAAAATGGTGAAAATTGATTTAAAACCGTCCTTTAAAGTTCCGCAGAAAATTGGAAATTGGCACATCTTTTTTTGTGTTATTAACTTATTATGTACTATCTTTTTTCTTGAACACGCAAAAGACTCGCATACTTTTGTAATTAAGATAGAAAGGTTGTGATTACAAGGAAGGAGCAATGCCCCTCTCCTTTGGCAGCAAAAGTTAGACAAAACCACATAGGCCGCCCAAGGAAACAAAGTTCCAGACTTTGCTACTCGGTAGCTAAACAAACCGAGGAAGGTCGTGACCGCTTCGATCCACACGTCCGCCTGCCGCTTGATGGTCGCTAGGAGGTATGTGCTCTGTGGATGGCACTGCACCTCGGAAGCATCAAGCGTTCCGCTCCTTCCAAGTTTCCCATGCCACCAAGGCAAGGATCAGCGCCCCGCTTCTGTGAGCCAATCAAAAGCCGTCAGAGCCGCTTCCACCATTTGATGGTTGAGCAGCCAGTGGCCGTAGGTAGTGGCTTGCCCAGCGCCGCGAGGACGTGGCACCATAGGTCTCTGGTGAACGGCGCCAGAAAGCTTGTTGGCGGTTCTTATGTCTCACTAATCCGCAAGCACACAGATACCATTATAGCTTTCACCTCAGAGTATTCCAGGATATCGTATCCGCGAGGAACAAGGGGTGTTTCTATGGACCTAGCCGATTCTAATTTTAAAACAGGATAAATTGAACAAGTCAGGTACTGGAAAAGAGAAGTCAGATGTGAGCGATCCTTCGGTCCAGCTTCTCGAGATATTCACTTGTCCTTAGATATCAAATGGTCACCATTGATGTGGGATCACTATTCTTGTTTAAATTTATGGATCCTCGTTGATCTAGGTTTTGGTTTCTGGTGTCATTGATGAGGTGGTGGCAACGATAATACTTTGGATGTCTCTCTCTATATCTCCCTACCTCGACGATGTTCGATCTGGTGTCGGCGAAGGGCCAGCGAGAGTTTAGTCTGTCAGATCTGTTGTTCTTCAAATCTTAGCATTTGGTGTGCTTATCGGCAGGAGCAGTTGGTTGGCTTTTCGATGCAGCCATCTCGACCTCTTCTTTTTGGTTTGTTCTACGACAAGGTCCGACATCTTCAACACACTGTTCAGATGGTGAAGGATTGTAAGCCTGCATTCCTTGAAAGTTTCCTCCAACCAATGTTCTTTCAGTGGATCTTAGATCTTGTTGTCAGCGGCAAGTGAGTCTTTCATTCTTCAAAGCCTTGTTTGGCGAGGTTGCTAACTTCACAGTGAGATCTTCAAACTCCGGCACACAGTGGACATTCGAAGGAAGAAGACTGATTTGGTCATTAATATACTCTTATTTTTAGAGGTCGTTTTGCATGGTTCAAAATTTCGGCGAAATTTCGGCCGAATTTCACGAAATTCGGTAATTTCGGTGGTGGCCGAAAGAAAACTCTGAAACTTTTTAATACACTAATACATGTGCTATATAACTCTAATCTTATATTTTTCTATTGTTTATATTGCATATTCTTCTATTAATAGATATGTAGTCATAAATCATACTAATATTTGTTTAGATCCAATTTTTTTTAGAAAAAATATACTTCATGTGCTAATCTCTAAAAAAAATTCGGCAAAATTTCGGCCGAATTTCGCGAAATTCGGTAATTTCGGTGGTGGACGAAATTTTGGCGATATCGAAATTAAAAACCTTGTCGTTTTGTGTCTATTTATCCATCATTTGTCTTTGTTTTTCTTGAGATATATCACATGTGACGCTCTTTTGAGTGTCTATAATTATAAAAAAAAACACTCAGACGGCAAACAGCTTGATGCCGAGACAGTGGTTGCAGCCAAGACAAGAAAAGGAGGAAGAGAAAAAAAGTGTAGTAGGATAAATATTAGCCACTAATGCATGATGGGTCCCACATGTCAGGGGAGGCAAAGGGGGTGTGATTTCCCCCTATTGCAACTCGGAATTGCTAGCGCCTCGGACGAGGGCGCTAGCATCCGGACGCTGCTGCGCAGAGGGAGCAAATGAGCGCACAACGCATCGGGCTTGCGAGGGAGCGCACCAGCAGTGGGCCCACGCCGCCCCGAACATCGCCCACACTGCCCCGAACGTCGTTCGCGCAGCCGGGGGTCTTCCCACGCGCATCCCATGTGCAACACCCGATCTATTTTGGAAACATCTAGATGCAACAGTTGCAACATAAAAAAAAGACAAATAAAACACTTGAAACAAGCGTATGAAACACTTGCGAAAACATTTGAAAACCATTGCAAACATATGCAACATCCAGATGAAACACTCGCAAACATACGTATGAAACACCTTAAAACACTTGAAACATATGCTTGCAACATGCATGTATATGTAACATCCAGATAAAACACTTGCAATATTCGTCTAAAACAAATGAAACATTTGAAACATACAATTGAAACATACGTGTATAGCCATTAGAACATGTGCATCATCCCAATCTACTTTTGCAACGTACCTCTAAAACATCTGAAACACTTGAAATATACTATTGCAACATGCACTTTCAGCATAGCATCTGCTTGTTGCTTGGACGAATGGAGGCTCGTCAACGCGGAGCTCAATGCCGCGGAGTGGCGCGGAGGTCGCCAGTGTGGAGCTCATCGACGGCACGGACCTCGGCAGGGACACGGGCAGGCGGATGGAGCGTGGTCGTGACAGGAGGCGTGAGTCCGAGCGGGGGCACACGGCGCAGGCGGGCGAGGCCACGCGGCGTGAGCGGGGGCAGCACAGCCGAGGGCAAGGTCCGTCCTGGACAATGTTTTCTGATCGTCCGATTAATCGTCCTTATCGGTACTTAGCGCTTGATTAGACCCTCCGATTCGATCAGAGCGATCAGAAACCTTATCGTCCGATTAATCATCGATTACTCGCGATTAATCGTCCGATTAGGTCTCTTTGCCGATCAGCACTAAATAGGCAGATGGGCTACTTCAGTTTACTGGACTATATTTATTTGGGCCAGGCCCATTAGTGTTTCTCTTATATACCACACCCCGACTCTTTCTCTCCTCAGTCCTCAGTATTCCTCACTCCCGTTGTGTGTGCAGCTGAGCTCCATCTCTTCCCTGTTGCGTGCATCTCACTCTCTCCTCCCTCCCTTCCAGTTCCAATCCAAGCAGCCCATCCGTGGATCTTCCTTGCTGCTTGCTGCTTCCTCCTCCCTTCTGCTGCAGAGTCGCCTATTCTCTTCCCCACCTGCAGGCTGCATGTCCAAGGAGCACGAAGATGAGCTCCTCCTCTGAAGATGTCATTAAATCGGCTTTGTTCTGTCATTTCTGTCATCTCCTTTCCTCTGCACTATGCTCAAATCTTGATGCTTTGTTTCTTTGGCTCTTTGCTGAACTTGCGTAGATGAAAATCGAAGGCGGCAGCTTGCAGTGGAAGTCATCATGCCTGGGCCTAATCCTGAAGGAGGTGTTGGTGCAAGCTCATCAGATGCATCAGGTGGTGCTGGTTCAGCATCCTCAGCGGCTCCAGATGTTTCAGCCCTTGTAGAAAAGGCTATAGCAGCACTGCCTCCAGAAATATGCTCCATGTCTACTATATAAATATATAGTATATGGTATATTATATATATACTATACATATATGATATATACTTATATAGTCCTGCTATATACTGGACGATTATACGAATGATTAGACCGATCAGAGATCGATTAATCGTTCTGATCGTCGATTAATCGTCCTAATCGGTACCAGACCAATTAGGAACGATAAGCCGATCAGAAAACATTGGTCCTGAAGCTGAGGCGCGCTGAGAAGGCGACGCGGGCGGGGCGGCACAGGCGAGGCACGTAGCGAGCGGGCGACTTATACGGGGTCCGTCCGTCCGGACGACCTATAAGCAGCATTGCCAATTGCAATTTGCAACTTTTTGAAGAAAGAAGATGTTCAATCTAATGACAAGCAGTCGCAAATCTCACCAACAAGCGCGTGCACAGTGGTCCCTCCCAATTTTTTTTTGGCAACTTTTCTCTTACGCGACTTCACATTTTTGGAAGTTTTCTGGATAACTTATCCACATGACTTTGTCATGACAAAACTTTCTGAATTTTTAGAATAACTTTTCAAAATAACAAATATTCAGAAAACTTCTAATAAGTTTATCATGAAAACTGATTTAACTAAGCCCTGAAATTTTTTTAGGATATTTGGCAACTTTGTTCAAAATAACAAATATTCAGAAAACTTTTCCATAAACTGTGCAATTATTTTATCTTTTGTCTACATTTATCATGAATGAAAACATTCGATGTGAAATACTGATTGGAACTAAACACGCTGTAAATAACTCTGTCCCACACATGCAGAAAAAGGAATCCAGCGAGGACTACTGTGCACCGCGGGAAAGGCGTCCAGGCGGACCCCAAGTCCCCAACGACGCCCTAACACCTCAAAAACCATGAATTAAACAGACAAAATACAGGGAGGAAGAAAAAGCTCAACAGGTACACAAAACTCCCTCAGGAATCAAGAGTAAGGATTCAGGAATAGTATAGTATCATTTTTGTCCAAGTGTGAACATCGGTGGGAAAGACCGACTATGATTGCATCTTTTCTGCTTACATGGCCAATACAAAAAATTTCACACACAAACAAATTATGAATGAACTAAGCTTAATGTATGTGGTCTTACTGCAGTCACGAGAAGAGTAAGAAAAAAAATAGCATCTCTAGCTGCAATGGATTCACACAAAGGCATAATAGCAGTGCTGTTAGTGGTTAGCAGTGCAATTCAAGAAGCAAAGCAACATCAGCTGTAGTAGATTGATGCTAAACAAATTAACAAGTCTGTGAGAAGAAGGCCAATTGCATCGAATACGTACTTTGGAGCAAACAAACCCCAAACCTGCAAATTTACCCAATAAACAGTGTGTCACATCGAATGCTTGATAACAACTAAACAAAGCAGAAATACTAAGGTAATTTGTTCCATAAGGCAGGAGCAGCAGTTACCATTAAGTGACGCCTTTGAATAGCAACGCATATGATTGTTAGCGTAGCAGTGATTGCTGTTATAAGACCATACATCAAGAGCACCTAAGTTTGACAAAGAAATATTAGGTGTGATGTGAATTAGTGAGCAAAGAACCAGTCAACAGCTTTAGATCCACAAGGAAAGTTCCATGGATGCATGAATATGCTACTGTATTAGTGGCCTCCAGCATAACTTTTTGGCATAATTGTTCAGTAATTTGAATTTGGCATCAATGTGCACATTTGGGGACATGGGGAACATCCCTTGCCTGGCTAAGGAGGGCTTGTGATCACTAACAGTTCTAGTAGCTACGAGCTGTGGAAAGAAAGGAACATGAGGATTTTTATTTTTTTTTACCGCATGGGTTGCCCAAACTTTGTGTTGCTCCAAAAAATCAAAGATGAGGCATCCCTCTGGATTGTGGCGGGGTCCAAGCATCTGGCCAAACTTGTAGCAAGGATATGTGCACTGTGTTTGTGTCCTTTTTCTGATGCAGTTTTTGTGCTTTTCTGAGCTTTTGCTCGACAGGTAAAGCTAACTTTGTAAAGCCTCCTCTGGGCTACTACTACTACTACTACTACCTTTTAATACAACGGGCAGATCTCCTGCCAGTTCTTTCAAAAAAAAAAGGGACATGGAATATGTACTTGCTTATTGAACTTATTGCCAAACCTCTCAAGAGCATACAAAATTATTTTCTTTATTGCACACTAAGGTTACCATATTTAGTACCTTATTAATATTGTTGAGAATGACGTCCTTCAGTTCATTATCCTTGGATGTAGTATTGTACCACACTATGGCAATAAATGGAAGGCTTAGAATTGGCAGGATATGAGAAACACCAAAGGTGTCAATGGAAAGTAGAAAGCCTTGTCGAATGATATGGAAATGATCAAAACTGCATATTGAAGCATTATAGCAACATCAGCGCATGTAATGAAAGGAAATTTGTTTTTGCAGTCTCACAGTCTTATAAGAAACACACTTACCCAATGAAAGCTGCACCATATCGGAGGCCATCAAATGTACACCTGAAATTCACTTTTAAATTAGCAATGATGAATTGCTAGCCACCCCATTGAGATCAGTTAAACTAGAAGCTACCACCAATGCACATATTAGTATAGACAATAATGCTAGAACACTATACATCAATGAACAAAATGTGTTATAGGTACATCAAGTACTCTAGTGTTTCTGAGGTAACATAGTATGCATATAAACGTTTGCTTCATAGAAAAAGGTAAATAACTGGAAGCAGCATGAAACTTACCAGTGACCTGTCAGATAAAATAGACAAACTGCAAGAAGGCTCCACTGAATCACTGAAACAGGGTCAGCAACAGAGAGTTCTGACTCTCTCTGATGTTTCTGTTGCAATTTTACGATACACCAAGCTACAAAACAAAGATGGCAACAGAAAACTCAGTGGCCAGAAAATTTGCACAGTACCTTCATCATGCAAATCTATATTTTTCATTGGCAATCAAGTGATTTCCACATTACCTCCTGTCATGGAAATTAATGCCACAAACGGACCTTGCCTTCCCAACAGGATCAAAATAGTTGGACTCCAAGAACAAAGCATGACAGCCGATAAAATAATTATCCTTTTGTTCATCTTCAAATGAACAGTTGGACCAAATATCCGAGAAAATGCAGAAATGGCTAGTGATAGACCTCCGATAGCGTAAACAATGCAAGGAGCTAAACTTCTTCCAAATTCTTGAACAGTCCCAGCATGAGAAAACAAAGTAGTCTCTGAAGCCCAATGAAACGCTATAGATAAATAACTCACCATCGTTCCACACAAAAGAAAGTACTTCAAGAACCTCTGACAGATTGCACGGGATAGGCACTTCAACATAATATAAGCCACAAAGGCTAGAGATATGATGGGGAATAGCTCCAAGAGGATGTTGCAAGAATTAACACCAAGGATTTTACAAATGACGCTCACAGGGTGATCCTTTGTAATTGTTGGCGCAGGCAATTGTTTTGACATCCCAACCTCAATTCCAAACCGTGTGAAAATATTTAAAAGAAGAAAAACTAAGTCCTGCAAATCAATAGAGTGAAGGATGTCAGAAGATGATCGCACCAAAGAATAATTGAAATAAAGAATTTATGTCCAGGAATACTTCTATGCTGATGTTCCCTTTCAGCACTGAGTGCCACACACTGGTGATACAACTTGTGGCCAAAAGAAAATTTGCAACTCTACCTTCTGCCACTGTGTAAAAGAAAAAAAATAAACTATGAACAGATATATATAAATTGAAGTATGTATGGTAAGACTGATTCATCTGACAACACTCACATATATAGCTGTTCGATAAGAAACTAGCAGCTCGAATCACGACTAAAGCAAAAGCAAGGGAAAATCTAGGAATGATTCTTGAACCAGAACTTTTCTGATCTGAAGATTGGCTTATGGTGTTCATATTTACAAGCGTGGATGCCTGAATGATAACTGACAATATCATAAGTAAAAGACCAACGCCCATTGACCATAAATCAAATTCTGTCCAAGCAGAGCGAGCGAGCTTTGCAAAACTCTGCAAGAAGTCATTGTATGCATCAATTTGCTGCAGCAGAACTGAACCTTTCCCCTCTACTTTTTCTTGACTACCTGTCTCTGATGAACAAGTAGTTATCAGAGAAGCTGACCAATTTTCCTGAGCTCTTGAATATAGGTCTGTGATATGTTGCAGGTCTTCTAATGGAAATCCAATAACAGAAGTGGCAGAATATTGATCAATATATCTCTTTACCTACAAAGGAAGATGGGTGTCAAGATTAGAAAACCACAAACCTATATGAACTAAACAAGGGAAGTTGAAGGGAACTAGAATGCAGCTTCATACTACCTGCCAGCAATTTACACATAGAACTTCAGTATATCTCCCCATCCATGCTTCTAGATCATCCTGTGAGGTACAAGCATTGGTACCCATCCTTTGATTTACCCATGTCCTAGTACTCAAGGCATACAATTCTGGGTTTACGCGGCCAATGCTATTTAAGAAACAGGAGACCCGTTTAGCAACTAGTGGATCTAGATAAATAATAAGCAAAGGATGATGAAACAACAACACCACCAAGAAAAAGAAAAGGCAGACAACCAAGAATACATAGCAGCTTACAATCAAGCAAGAACGGTCACTGATAACTGAATCATAAAATAAGCATCAAGTTAAACTTACACACCTTCCAAAGGGAAAGGGTATGCCAAGAAGTGCTGATATAGTCACCGCAAAATCAAGCTGAAACCAAGAAGAGAAATAAGCAACACCGAATAAAACTGAAGATCCACATGGGAGAGTGATGAACCCTGACCTGCTGCATAGTGCTTACGCAGACCTCTTTCCCGTGCTGTGATGTTAATTCATAAAAAGAAAAGAAAATAAATCAGTGCCACAAGTATTAATGTTCTGTAAAAACAAATTAAAGCAAGAAATCTGACTAACATGAGATTTCAACAATTAACAGATTTATTATGCTCAGCTACTAAATACTAGCATACAAAGCTGCTGCATTTAATTTCCATTCCAATAGATATACAGTCAAAGAAATTAATTAAGTATTCAAGAATTAACTCCCTTTTTTGCTTTTACAAGGCTGAAAGCATCTGTTAATAATATTACCTCCGGGACTTTAGATGCCACCATCCAAATGCAACACTAAAGAACTACATGAATAAACAGAATCACCCATACTGAATGTTATTTTTCCAAAAAAAAATAAAAAAAAAGAGCGGCAAGAGATCTGCTCATCATGTATTCATATAGAAGAGGATGTTTTTTTCCCAAATCTTGTCTACATACAACTTCAAGTTTATTTGTTTTTGTTCTAATTATTTATAATCTTAACCTGTCAAACAACCCTTCTGTTGGCATAAATCAGAAGAGCAAATGATTTACTATTAAGGTGCAAATGTGATTGACAAATATACCAGATCAACATTGCACGAACTATCATCAAGAACAGATAAGACTGCATCTGGTGGGGTCCTTGGACTCCATGCAAACAGCGATGTTTCAACCTACAGTTCACACAGGATTAAATGTGATTGTTATATACTTTGCAGCCAAACAGAAAGAAGATCACCTCTTCAGCAGTTCCCCCTCCATGGTCACCATTCAGGGTTTGACCATGATCACCCATTACCAAAAGCAAAGTATTCTCATGGGTACCGCCAGGTTTGGATAGACTTCTCAATGTGTCAATAACACCCTATAGAAGAAAATAAGAATGTACAACATTCAGAAACTTGGAAAATAAATGTGAAGAGCATAGATAAGGTAATGCTAAATGCCTCCTAAATGCATATAATAGAAGAATATTATATGCATGAGACAACTGACCTCCAGGATTTGATTGTATTGCTCCAACTTCTGGATCATCGGGGTTGAGTCAACACCAAATATATGCCCTGCATGGTCCTAAACAAAGTTGATCTCACAAGTCTCCAGCTAAAGATAAAAGGATGAAAAATGGCAGGTAAGGCCAAATTGAATGCACAATAACTTACCACACCAAGAAAATGTGCAATAAGAACATCCCAATCATTTTTGTGAAGAGATGGAAGCAAGTGCTCAATTACACCATTATCTACCTGGCATACAATCATAATTGATAATTCAGTCAAACTTAAAAGAAAGATCTAAGAGGTTCATCAAAAAGCAAGCACAAGAATCTGATTGACAGAATGTCATACTGTGTCAAGGTCTTTAACATTAAAGGAAGGGTATGGGAATGACTTGTTGAAGTGTTCAGGGTACAGCTGTATCCATGTATCATCCCCCATCATGACTACTCTCTTTCCATTTTTAGCCAACTGGTTGATCACCAAAGAACAGAAAACATCACACCATCACGGCTAGCAATCAGCATGAGCTGTAGACAGATAATTGGACCTAATCGGTACAAAATTGAATGTGGGGTGAGATGAACCTGATGCATTATATTATCTTCTACTATTGCAGGAGCACCGAAACTATTGCCAACATCAATAAAGGTAGGAAGTCCACCCGTGGTGAGAGCCTGAGCATTGAGTTTTGAAACAATTCTGTTAAGCCCACGAAGTACCATTTTGGATCACATTACATTACAATATTTCTAGGAGAAACAATATATCATCCCACGATTTGAATGTTAGGATCACCTTAAGGCGCTGGAGGCTAGTTGTTGGTGGATCAGCGAGTGCTTTGAAGATCCTTGCAGAGTTCTTTTCATCGGCAGCAAGCTTCTGCAAGACCTGCAGCTTGTCCATCCACGGCTGCTTCTCTGCAGCAGATCTATCGATTAGCTAGCAATTAGCAGTGCTACAGTATCCTAATTTTTCCGCTCAGAGTCAGGCACCTGAAAAGAAGGTACTCGGCGCCACGAAATCAAATCTGCGAGGCAACAAATTGTTCAACCGCATCAGCTAGAAACACGACTCGGTACGTGGATTTTGAGGGATCCAAAACGTCGCACCTCAGCGCGTCGAGGACGACGATGACAAGGCGGTCGACGGCGGCCGGGGGCCAGGAGGCGCACCCGGGGGAGACGTTGCCCTGCGGCGACAGGTCGTCGCGGCTGCTGTGGAGGTCGAGCTCGGTGCGGGTGAGGAGGAAGCCGCGGGTGAAGAGGTATACTGCCAGCGAGTGGACCGCGAGGATCGCGACGAACAGCAGCGGCCAGCTAAGGAGCCGAGAACGGCGGCGGTGGCTCGCCGGCGGCGACATCACCTCCGATTTCGATCTGACGCCTGGTGACGGGCGGCAGAGCGTAGGAGAGGTGATGGGTGGAGCGCGAAGTGGGCCTCCGCTTGTTAAGCCCGGGCTGCCTCCGGGAAGGTGAAAGTAAAAGATGGACCAATCACCAACGCACATTGAGCTGGGCCGTTTCATAGCCAAAAGCCCATTCTCGGCTCAGTTTAAATATTTTGAAGTCGACTAGGTGCGTTCAACGGAAAGTACAATTTTGTTGTATGTTGTATTTTTATTGGATTTAGTTGGGCTTGCCTCAACTTTAAATCAGTTAAATCCAAGATCCATAATAAATGCTAGTGCAATAAAAAATTAACCCTGTATGAAAAATGGACAGGAGGTTGATTGAATTTAAATATGTTGTTATTGTGTGCTTTTGTTGTGAGTTTAAGAAAGGTGTAAAACAAGCCACATACTCTCATGTCCATCTTGACGCAAAATGGCTCAAACAGTCAGGCCATGACATGAATGGTGTGGCGCTAACAAAAGTTTTGCAGCTTCAAACTCAAAGTAAGAAGGGTAAGGACCTGTTCGGAACACGGGAATATTTTCCTGATCCTACATTTTTGCTGTAAAATTGAATTGGTTCCTGTGAAATTCCTGCACTATTCCTGTGAAATTCCTGTGTTCCAGACCCTAAGAGTATGGGATGACAGATGGAGGTAGACAAGATGACAGAGAGAGTGAGAGGAAAGAAAGAAATTTCCGTTCTTTAATGGAATATTAGGCATAGATTTTACCTCCTTTAGTTCTTGCCTCACTGGGTCTGCCCTTTTTTTTATCAAACTATCTAATATAAAAAAAATCACACCCTTGTGTTTTTTAAGGTAGTTTCCATATGACGCGCCATTAATGCGGTGGTGGTTTTCACAATTCATCGCTTAACAAGGATGCCAATTGGACATTGTTTATTATAAAGAATCTCATTTCTCTCCTAGCTAGGAATGGTAGCAGGTGGGTTCAGGGTGTGTTGAGCATAAACCATCCAAAATCAAAAACCATTCGCAACGAAAACCTGCGGATGCAATTCGAATACTGCATTGGCAGGTTTTGGGTGCCCGTTGAGTTTGCTCGTGAATGCGTCCTCACCTCATTGGTCCTCACTCATCGTGTGGTCAAGCCATCCTACACCTAGAGAGAGCGTGGCATGCTCCATTATCCATTGTTGGATGAGTAAGGCTCAATGCTAACCATAGTGGCCTCTACCCAACTATGCCATGTTGACCACCGCATCTAGGGATATTTGCCTACACTGCTTCCAGCATACTGCAAGCACTCGGTTGCAACATGCTACCTGTGCTAGGGACTTTGGGTGTCATCGACGGCAATTGCAACGATGTCTGCCACATGCGTGCATATGGTGTAAGGATGTTGAATGGGCTAATAGGTTGATAAGGAGTCTAGGAGTGCACATGGTTCCCACATATTCGAGGCCCATGCACGTCCAAGGGTACAATCTTAAACTCTCTCCTAACTTGACCACTTCTTAGGCTCCGCAAGGGCCCTTTGGTAAAAAATATAATAATAGACACACACTCATACAGGCTAGGTGTGGAACCCATGGAGACACACACCCATGGGTCTCATTGCCACCCTACTCATCATTGTTAACAAAGAAACACACAAGCAACAACATTCCCAAGATTGAGGAGTGAAAGTCCCAGTTTGGCTTTAGTAATTAAGTTACAACAATAGGTGAACTAATGTGTTTCATATGAGATGAACAGGAGATTAGTCCACAAGCTAGTTGAGCAAGACATGAAGGCCATGAAGGTGAAATGGCATGTAACGCATGTGTTGCAATGAGTCAACTAGTGAAGAGTTGAAGATGAAGGAGATGAGAAGATCAAAGATGATTATCAATATATGAGGTGAAAAATATTGTATACGGGATATGAAGTAGTCTCATATGACAAGATGGTGAAGATTAAGGTAAGACTCGTCTATGATGGGCCATGCAAGGTTACGAAAGTGCGAGTAGATTCTTTAGGGGTTTCATCATATCCTATACTCAACTAAATATTGTATACCAGTTGAAGGATCGTGATGCCTAAGAGGGGGTAAATTAGGCAACTTAAAGACTAATGGCCTCTAAAACCAACTTATGGAAACCTATGGTAGATAATATATAGACGTGCATTACGGTTTTACTAAGTGCTGCTATCTCTAACACAAAAGAGTTCAAAAATAGGTCTGGGCACTTTCGAACCAAAACAAAAAACGGAGCCAAAATATGTCGATTTTCTTTATTTTCGATTTTGGCTTTGCTTTTAGTATCCGAGAAGTCCGGTTCTTGGCTTTGGCTTCGGTTATAGGACCTAACTAAACCGAGTACCTGAGGGACCAATCCTAGCCCCATGTTCCACTTCAAAATAAAACAAGGACCCCCGCATATCCCTTCCACATCTCTGCCCCTCCTTTTCTCCCTCCTCCTTGGTCCTTAGATCTTTTAGGGTCTTCATAGCATACCCTAGTCTTTTGCTTGAGATGTTGATTACTTGATGTCTACACACACACCTCGCTCAAGTTCATCCTTGCATAATAGCAAACAACATTAGTCTCAATGATCATGTTGTCACTCAATCACCAAAGTCACTAATGAACCTCGCTAGGTGCTATTTTCCTGACAAAAACTATGCAATAGATGTATAGGCCCGTTTGGTTGGGATTTGATTCTAAGATTCTCTGGAGAAACTTTTTTTTTTGGAAAACAAAATCACTTGCTAAAATAGTTTGGCTGGTTGCCTAGATTTAGATTTTAAAGAGAGGAGAATGTAGTAGAATAGACCAAAGTGCCTTGATACGTGATGCGTTTTCTTTAGTTAGTATAGGCCAAAATAGCATTTACAACGATGGGCAAAATAGGCGCATCTAATTTATTTCCCACCTAAGCTCACACACCCACTGTAAAGGCCTGTTTGGAATGCGGGATTTTTTTTCCATTCCTGCGTTTTTCCTGTGAAATTAAACTGATTCCTGTGAAATTCCTGCGTTACAAACAAACCCTAAGTACGTGTATTTGTTAATACGATCTATAGTCTCGGTGAGACTAAACCGTGTCCTCACCAAGTGTATCGAATGCATACTTATATTAACGATCAGTGCAGTATGGCAGTATCTAAGAAATACTTATGTGAGCGAACCGCTGTTTAAACGCACCATCATGTCATTATGTGTCCTACGAGCGCAGCACAGCGTGGCTTCCTAGTCTGACTTCGTCAGCTAACAACTGGGAATACAGCACATAACAGGAGTTACATTGGACATGTTTCTTCGGTCATGCGACTTCAGAGGGTTTTTTTTAAACGGCATGCAACTTAAGAGCTTTGATTCCTAAAGCATGTTTGGATGAATGCCTTATCATTCATTTATACCTGTTTTGGATGAATGGATGTATAGGGACTAGTACAGTGCCCGTTGAGATTGATACCAAACAGTACCAAACCAAAGGAACTGACCCAGTCACCACTATAACGAGTGCCATAAGTTTTGACCAAATTTCACAAAATCGCTCTGGAGATGGTGCGAGAACAGGGAAAAGTCTTTACTAAGGGCCTGTTTGAGACTGCTCTAAGGAGCTCCAAGAAAAACCTAGCACCTAAAGAGGTGGTCTCTTAACTCCACCTTTTTCCCTGGAGCAAAGCTTGTTTAGCTACAAAACATAAAGCGGAGCTAGAAAAACATGAAGCGGAGTAATCCCAAACAGGCCATAACTGTTATATCAGGTGCCAAAACTTAAAAAGAAGACAAAATGTGACGATGCAAACAACCATTCGAATAGACCTAGCATATTGACATGTCAAGTTTGGAAGAAAAAAAAATACTAGGTTCACACAAACCAATTCGGGGAGATTTCTGCTAAGCAGATAAAAGTCATACAGGTTAATATTTTTTATAGCATTTCAGTGTAGTTCATTGGAAAGCAGCTTGTTACAATGCCTGAATTCCATGGGAACAGCTCCACAGTCCATTGCGGTTGTAGACACTGCAAAGGAAGCAAAAGCAACTGGAAGAGAGTTCTGCCTATATATGAATTCTTACCTCCTCAAGCTACATAACAGCAATAGGTGCTAAGAGGGTCTAAATAGAAGACCATTGACACTGATTCCTGACACAATCGCCCTGCAAATTTGGAACGGCTTTTAGGACTCAAACGAGGAAGGGAACATTTGGTTAACATTTTCTAATAAGACGAGGCTCCCAAGCCTGTATCTATTGCCAGTCGCAGCTCTTTAATTAGCTTACCTAGTAGAACATTAACTTACCATTGTATCAATTGCTCAGGCAACAAAATGACTACCTCTAAATACATTTGGACTGCAGGGCTTAACATCAAAAATCTAGAATGGGTATTTAACTCAATAACTCACCACTAATCAACAGTTAATATCGCCCATAGGTCCTCCCAAGATCATCATGCCTCTCATGCTGAAACTCACCATATGCAGCATGAGCCTTTGGGGCTGAATAGCTATCAGAAGCATATGGATATGTTCTCTTTGAATCCATTGGTTGATGTGTAGCTGAAATATGTGTCGTCCTCTGCTCAAAACCTGGATAACCAGTCTGTGTGTATGAAGGATGTGCTTGTTGTTGTTGCCTTTTAAAGGTTTGTTCAAGAAATTCTTCCCACTTCCTTGAATGCACATTCCTCATGGTAATCACTCTCTCCATGTAATTTTCTCTAATCACTCTCAGCGACTGCATGACAAAGGATGTTGACATTAAGAAATGATAACAACAAATGCACCAAATGCAGAGTTACTATGTCATGTAACTGGTACATATCCACTAGTGGATATTTTTACTAGAGGGGAGCACATTACAAAACGTGAATTGAGCAAACATAACGAAAGGCACAAACTTGACTTCAGTGAAAATAATTATTTGTGACATTGACATAGCCCTTATACAATAAAAAGTAAAGTAAATTCCACAAACCTACCACTATTTTGGTTTAATTATCACAAAACTAC